TGATGATTGACGTATGGGAAAGAACTCCAGTAATATTCATTACTACACCAAAGGTTCCAAACAGTGCATCATAAGTCACCGAGATATTATAGTTTGAAGTTGACTCATAATAATGGACAAACCTAAAAGATGTGATGCATATTCGTCAACGTTCCAATATACCTATCAAAGGTTTTTGAGTTTTTTGAAGATAATGCAATTTTAAGAAAAATTACATTATTGCTCTTCTCACTTCATCTCTTAAAGTTATAACTCGCTTTCAAGCACCTCAAAAAAGGATCGAAGGATTTTTCTTGCCGATTTGACTTGCCGTAAAACTTTATGAAAGAAAATTGTTAAGTATTGGTTTATCTATCCCTTTCCGCACTTGTTTTCGATGAAACAATTTTTATTTTAAAGCAGGGGTGGCATCGACTCCCAAGGTACAGGGTCGACTTGAATCAAATCAAATCACTTAATTAATCCTGTAGAACTTACAAAGTTATAGGATAGGTCAAATATTACAAGGACGTGAAAGTGAAACTAGAACATCTTGCTAATGGCGGAAAATAATTAGATACGCCAAGCTGAGTAGGTTTATATGCAGAGATACGTGCGAATCTGAATTTGAATGAGTAAAAGTGATTTGGGATTAGTTTAACGTCACTTCGATGTGAAAAGTTACGAGTTACATAATTGATTGTGATAAATAATGATGATACTTCGAACTACTATCAATTTGTATCACTTTTTTGTTGAAACATCAACGAGTTTTGAGTTACGTTGATTTTCTGAGATACACTGAATACTTGTCAGCTGCATGTCAATTGCAATTTTCAATTCAATCTATTTTCTGCCATATTTTTCATTGATATCAGACCCACAACTACTGTCTGCTTTTTTTTCGAAACCAGATTTTAATACTCTTTTTTTTTTATTCATCTAATACCATTTCTGTCAGATATATTCATCCGACTGATTATATAAAACCAATTACTCTACAGCACGTCATAGCACTTTAATACTATTATATTTTACATTTGCAATTGATATTTTCCTGAGAGTAGATATTTGAAAACTATTATGCAGTGTTATTAATTTATGGAAATGTATTTGCTGTTTACCCTATTCAAAAGTTTAGTATTCAAAACAAAACACTCAGGATAAAGATTACCTCTACCAGGTTCCGAAACTGTTCAACCAAATATCTATTTTACAAAAATGAAAGAACAAGCTATTCCTAGTAACCCCATATTATCTATTCCTGCATCCAAGTTTAACTTGTTCTATATTTACGTCTCTTTGTTCTCGTTTTTATTTCGTTTTCCTTCAGCAATCGCTTTATATTTTTTAATCTTTCTGTAGTTATATGTAGTTCTGTAGTTATCAACTCTTCCTATATCATGCAGGTAACTCTTTAAAATACGTCTACTCTGTTGAGAAGTTTACATATTACTAAAACACAATACTAACACTATTTACATAAATGTTTTTGATGTATCATCCAATTTCTCTTCCCACCAATGGATATTTTTTCTGAATCTAACAGTGCTAGTATACATATTTTATTTTCATGTTTTCGATATTTTTGTTGTAAATACAAGGTCTTGGGTGCTTCTTCACATCCTAATTTCACTCTGCGATTCTTCCAACGTATTTTCTACCATTTGGTTTTTTTTAAGATAAATAAAATGTATTATAAAAATGAAACATTATAAATTCAACTTATCAGGTACACAAATACAANATAGTTCTAAGCGTCTAGGTCTAAGTCTTAGTCAAACGAACATTACTCGTGGAAAATTCTACTTGGTATGTCGCTCAAAATTTCAAAAGGATTCAAAATTTATTATCTTCCGTGAAAGTTATGTGCATTTGCTTCAGAAGAAACAAAACCAAAAAATTGGTCTAGGTATAAGCATTCGAACGACATTCCCAATTCAAGCGATTTCTTGTAAAAAATAGAGAGTTCACAGAACGTGGTACGATTCCTCAAGTTCATATTTACGATGACAGTTACTTCATCAGGATCAGAACCTTTGTTGATGATGAGCTATTTCAGAATTCGAAAAATCAGTATTGGTAAAGATTACAACTGCAGACGATACTTGGAGGAAGAAGATTGGAGTAGGAATGTATAAAATCACTTATGTTCAATTCCCAAACTGAAGACAAGTTTAATATTATTCGTGTTTTATGCTTTACATGTTATCTGGGTACTTGAAATGTGAGACAATGAGGACATTCAAGTCATTCACTCAAAAAACATGAATTTTTAACGATATCGGATATGCCAATAGTTTCAACATCGATTGTAGTGTCGAGTTATTCTGTACATTTAGAGAACAACAAGTACAATTTTCCCGACAAAGATCACTTTCTCCATCCGCGGTTATGCAAACGCATAATGGCCTGTCGTGATTATGATTTGTATAATTTATCGAAAGAGGAAGCCTTCACGTTTTTTTTTGAAGTAGACTTTGATTGCAGTATGCTGCTATTAACCATATGTCAGCACACTGATAAGTTATACGGTGTGATGAACACCATTCACTTTGATCAATAGGTAAATGTTGTTGTTTTTGTTGGCAATAGAAAAACAATTTAGAAAGTTCTCAAGCAACATACAAGGAAGAATGAATGAGGGAAATATTTATGAGTGATAATGCCAAAGGAGGAGAATGAGTAGTTCTAATAAATTTAACAATTCACAACCCCAACAAAGAATTCAGTATTCTTTAAAACCCATGCCTCTTCAAAACTTATGATTATTCGAAAGCAATCATAATTTCTTGTGGGATTTTTACATAAAAGCTCGTACGGTGCTACGAGCCTCAGTACCTTCAAGCTAGCCTACAATGCATGTACTACAGTAGTTTCAACGCAGTGTATTAGAGAACAACGATTTTAGAGCAGATTTCGGTCTTGCAGACCCGACGCGTTCCTTTATGTAATTACTGTGATATTTCTACAGAGAATATTAGTGATCTATTCTGAACGAGTCTGTTGACAGAAAAAAAATGCTGATTTTGCTTACGTTTGTTTCCAAATTTTTTATTGGCCTTGTGTATCTCAATATTCGCTTACTCTAAATGATTTTTAATCTTTTCTAACATGGATCCCCGTCTTTTGTATCCCTCGTCGATACATTGTTTTAAATTTCAGAGTCATATCACAACTTTCCTACTATGAATATAATTTAAAAATGAATTGATCATGTAATATTTCAGATGTACATCAGTAAGTGATTTAATCATGGTTTCTGAAACTTAAGATTACCACTTACCGGAGGTACGGAATATTGGCAGGAATGTGATATTTAGCACCAGGATCGAAATCAATCTCAGACCTCAATACTGGAGGTTTGATTCCTTGGTACTTCTCACTGAAAAATTAAATTAAATTAGGATGGAAGTATATCAAACTAAATTGAGTTTTCTCAACTCCATGATGAACAAATGAGTATATCCCATTAGTAACACCTATCATATCGAAGGCAATATAGCGCTTTTGGGTTCTGCTATCATATAATCGTTCTTTCACTTGAAATTATGAAATTTCGAAAATTAGGATCGAACCAATCAACCAATATAACTACCCGACGAAGAATTTCAACAATTCATCAAAGATGAAAGTAAGAACAAATCTTGGTTGCTCAACTCAAAATATTCTATCTCACAAACTAATAATTCGACATCTGTAAAATTTGTATACGTGTCTATTAAAAGTTAGGCTTAACTAAAAATCAAACGGATCCAATACTAGTAGTAGTCATCTATGTGTTAGCCTTCTAACTTCTCAGCCCACCTAACACATTCATTTACAGAAAACATCTGTATCTGTAGAGAACGGAGGATGAGTGTAGGCCCACTTAGGCCACATGTGACCCATTGTACATCCTCGCTAGGAGTTGTCCTCCTAGATCATCGTCCATCCTATTCTTTCCAGTCAGAAATCCTACTGTTGAGCGTAGGTTTTTCCTGGTCATTGTCAGATATTTCTTCGACGAGAGATTCCCAGGGTCGCCCAGGGTGATCTTGGCAAGACTGCATCTTTTGATTCCATCACTTCTCTTAAGGGATTGAGCATGGTTGTGACGTTTGGCTAGTTCTGCAATTGTCATCAGGCCGTAGGTGTCACTGGGCCCTAACATTTTTAGTGCAGCCGCTTCCTTGACTGAAGAGTTGGCAATGCGATTACCTTCACTCCTGTCTTGCCTTCTACCCCACCTCAGGATAATGTTATCATCTACCGAGGCTTTGGCTAAATCTTGGTAGCACTCTAGTATTAGCCCCGAGGTAACATGTTGTCTGTTCAAGGCTAATATAGCTTGTCTACTATCAGTGCAGATTGTTATGTTTCTTACCCTCCATATTAGAAAGACTAGTATTGACATCTTTCATGAATTCATCGTTTTTATATTTGCTTGTATATCATTCATTTGGAACATTCGTGGAACAACTTTCAGTGGAGTTTATTAATTTTTCTCTCTCTTCTTGAAACCTTTTTATTACTAGTATAGAGGTGTTTTTTCTAACTACAAACTATGTCCTATATCCATTAGCATTTGCTTTCTCAGCTCTTGTATCTCATATCCACTGCCAAGATGTTGGCACTGTTCGTCTCGTCACAATTTTGATAATTAATTTTTGTTACGAATATTTGCTTGGTAGATATGAATCAACTTTATATTCTTTATCTGAATCATACTTCTAGCTTTATTTGATGGTGCAAACTGTGTGTAAACTGTGTGTAAACTGACAGCTTCTGCTGTTTGGATTTGAATTCGGAAAAAATATTTTTTTCTGCTTGACTCTAATGTTCGTCGAAGATCAAGAATGATGAATAAGCATGAGATAAAAAATAAAGATTCAAGTCGTTCCAAGATGCACTACAGATGAATCCAATATTCATTCGGAAAAATCGTCTTGCAAAATGCATTCCATACGGACGTCGTTTTTAAAAAATGAAATAATTTCTAAAATTATAGTTCGAAATGTCTAGGTTTAAGTCTAAGTCAAACGAACATTACTCGTGGAAAATTCTACTTGGTATGTGGCTCAAAATTTCAAAAGGATTTGAATTTTATTATCGTCCGTGAAAGTTATGTGCATTTGCTTCAGAAGAAATAAAACCAAAAAATTGGTCTAGCATTCGAATGACTTTTTCCATTCCCAATTCAAGCGATTTCTTGTAAAAAACAGAGAGTTCACAGAACGTGGTACGATTCCTCAAGTTCATATTTATGATGACAGTTATTTCATCAGGATCAGAAGCTTTGTTGATGATGAGCTATTTCAGAATTCGAAAAATCAGTATTGGTAAAGATTACAACTGCAGACGATACTTGGAGGAAGAAGATTGGAGTAGGAATGTATAAAATCACTTATGTTCAATTCCCAAACTGAAGACAAGTTTAATATTATTCGTGTTTTATGCTTTACATGTTATCTGGGTGCTTGAAATGTGAGACGATGAGGACATTCAAGTCATTCACTCAAAAAACATAAATTTTTAACGATATCGGATATGCCAATAGTTTCAACATCGATTGTAGTGTCGAGTTATTGTGTGCATTTAGAGAACAACAAGTACAATTTTCCCGACAAAGATCACTTTCTCCATCCGCGGTTATGCAAACGCATAATAGCCTGTCGTGATTATGATTTGTATAATTTATCGAAAGAGGAAGCCTTCACGTTTTTTTTGAAGTAGACTTTGATTGCAGTATGCTGCTATTAACCATATGTCAGCACACTGATAAGTTATACGGTGTGATGAACACCATTCACTTTGATCAATAGGTAAATGTTGTTGTTTTTGTTGGCAATAGAAAAACAATTTAGAAAGTTCTCAAGCAACATACCAGGAAGAATGAATGAGGGAAATATTTATGAGGGATAATGCCAAAGGAGGAGAATGAGTAGTTCTAATAAATTCAGCAATTCACAACCCCAACAAAGAATTCAGTCCCATGCCTCTTCAAAACTCATGATTATCCGAAACGTGTTCTAAGTAGATAATGGAATATTGACGACGCATTCTTTCGCAGAAATTATTATCAGAAGTTGAAAGATTGACTCGGTTGTTCGAAAAAGTTTCATCTGATCTGTTTGCTTTGTTTACCATTGGCAAAATCAAGGAGAAATGTTACAATCGATAATTGGTTCACTTCTGTTGAAGTGGCCAATGATTTACTAAAAAATCATCAGCTGACAATAGTAGAAAGACTTAGAAAAAATAAGACGCAAATTTCCAATGATTTTTTCACCAAATGACCAGAAAAGACGAGCATGTTTGCTTTTACAGAAGATATGATATCGTTTCATATATACCGAAAAAAAATAAGCAGGTTATTTTATTATCAACCCTTCATCA